TTTTTTTTTTTTTTTGTGCAAAAACATTTCCTGAGCAAGGCCCACCATTAAAGCAATCCGTGGCATAACACCTCACACAGGCCTGTTCTGCTCACTGGGGACTTCACTTTCCCAAGTGGGAATAAAAAAAAATGTTGAGGCACACACACCAGCACATGTGCCCCACTTGCACATCCACCCTAATCTGTAAACCTCCCTAAACTGGCTTCCCATCATTCATTCTGATCACGTGCCTCATGACCCGCAGACTGCCAGGGAAAAGCATGACCTCAGGCAGTGTGGCGCCAGGCTTCACTGCAGACACCTGACCTCCATGAGAAGCCCCCCCTCCCTGACACTCCCTGCCACCCATGAATCTGTCAGTGCCCCAGAGCCATGCAAGAAATCCAAACACGACTGCATTCATGATGCTGATCATGATAAAGTCAATAATTGCTGGTAATCAGTTGGTGGTACCAGCCACATTTCAGCCAGTGCCTTAGCATGGCACTTCTTCATTTATGGCCATTTTGTTTGTATCTCTCATATCTTTATTTAGCGAAGTGCAAAGTCACACATGGTCTGCTTTGATTTAGTAACTCGTAGCCAGTTACACTGTGGTTCTGTTTGTTATTAAGCAAATAGAAACTGACTACTACTAACCAAGATTCAATATGTTCATTTAATGCAAAGCAAAACCGTCTAGCATAGGAGCTCTACATTGTGGGAAAGTGCTTATGAATGGAAGCAGATTGGGAATGGCGTAAAAATAACAATACACGTTTCCCCAGAAACGGAACAGGGACTCTATACAAACAACCAGGTCCACTGCTAACAAATAATTGTGACCTTGAGGACAAATCAGGAATAAATCATGCAATCGTTGTTAATAAACAAACTCAGCCATGGTCAATGACTCCACACAAGGTTGCTTGCGGGTAGAATAAATTATTCACTTTGACGATCCTAATGAGGGTGGGAAATATGCCCTGACTCCTAATCTTGAGTGCCCAAGCAAATATGTATGTAAGTTCAGGCTCAGTGTGATATTAAACTGATTTAGGAGAAACAGTGCTGCGTAACAAAAGATAACTGGAAACATACAGCATTGGATGGACTATATAGGCCTATTACCTGCCTCAGGACTGGAATAAAACCATTTGCAGTTTAATCTTTGCCTTAAGAATGTCATTACATGTATGTCCTCCAGGTGGTGCTGGACTCTTAGCCCCATTTCCAAAACATTTTTCATATCATACATACTTCAACATTTATGAACACTGCACATAAAAAGAGACTTACCCTCATTTTTGCTCTTGCCCCCTTCTTTGGGTATGTGGGCAGCCTATTAGGACAGAGAAGTGACAGTTCTAAGTGACAGAACACGTAAAGCAAGTTATAATCTGACCTGTGTTATACACCACTGAAAGAAACCAACAGCGTAGCGCAACTAAATGAACTTCATTTATGCTATATGTGGTCAGAATGTAGAATTAGATGCTTAGTACACAAGTAAGGATTGAGGACTCTTATTAAAGGAGTTTAAAGTAGTGGTTCTCAGCCTTTTTGACTCCCATTGGCCAAGAAAATAATCAAAGGCGCCACTATTTAGGCTGAAATATTTCCTCTGGTATTTTTTTTTTTTTTTGTGCAAAAACATTTCCTGAGCAAGGCCCACCATTAAAGCAATCCGTGGCATAACACCTCACACAGGCCTGTTCTGCTCACTGGGGACTTCACTTTCCCAAGTGGGAATAAAAAAAAATGTTGAGGCACACACACCAGCACATGTGCCCCACTTGCACATCCACCCTAATCTGTAAACCTCCCTAAACTGGCTTCCCATCATTCATTCTGATCACGTGCCTCATGACCCGCAGACTGCCAGGGAAAAGCATGACCTCAGGCAGTGTGGCGCCAGGCTTCACTGCAGACACCTGACCTCCATGAGAAGCCCACCCTCCCTGACACTCCCTGCCACCCATGAATCTGTCAGTGCCCCAGAGCCATGCAAGAAATCCAAACACGACTGCATTCATGATGCTGATCATGATAAAGTCAATAATTGCTGGTAATCAGTTGGTGGTACCAGCCACATTTCAGCCAGTGCCTTAGCATGGCACTTCTTCATTTATGGCCATTTTGTTTGTATCTCTCATATCTTTATTTAGCGAAGTGCAAAGTCACACATGGTCTGCTTTGATTTAGTAACTCGTAGCCAGTCACACTGTGGTTCTGTTTGTTATTAATCAAATAGAAACTGACTACTACTAACCAAGATTCAATATGTTCATTTAATGCAAAGCAAAACCGTCTAGCATAGGAGCTCTACATTGTGGGAAAGTGCTTATGAATGGAAGCAGATTGGGAATGGCGTAAAAATAACAATACACGTTTCCCCAGAAACGGAACAGGGACTCTATACAAACAACCAGGTCCACTGCTAACAAATAATTGTGACCTTGAGGACAAATCAGGAATAAATCATGCAATCGTTGTTAATAAACAAACTCAGCCATGGTCAATGACTCCACACAAGGTTGCTTGCGGGTAGAATAAATTATTCACTTTGACGATCCTAATGAGGGTGGGAAATATGCCCTGACTCCTAATCTTGAGTGCCCAAGCAAATATGTATGTAAGTTCAGGCTCAGTGTGATATTAAACTGATTTAGGAGAAACAGTGCTGCGTAACAAAAGATAACTGGAAACATACAGCATTGGATGGACTATATAGGCCTATTACCTGCCTCAGGACTGGAATAAAACCATTTGCAGTTTAATCTTTGCCTTAAGAATGTCATTACATGTATGTCCTCCAGGTGGTGCTGGACTCTTAGCCCCATTTCCAAAACATTTTTCATATCATACATACTTCAACATTTATGAACACTGCACATAAAAAGAGACTTACCCTCATTTTTGCTCTTGCCCCCTTCTTTGGGTATGTGGGCAGCCTATTAGGACAGAGAAGTGACAGTTCTAAGTGACAGAACACGTAAAGCAAGTTATAATCTGACCTGTGTTATACACCACTGAAAGAAACCAACAGCGTAGCGCAACTAAATGAACTTCATTTATGCTATATGTGGTCAGAATGTAGAATTAGATGCTTAGTACACAAGTAAGGATTGAGGACTCTTATTAAAGGAGTTTAAAGTAGTGGTTCTCAGCCTTTTTGACTCCCATTGGCCAAGAAAATAATCAAAGGCGCCACTATTTAGGCTGAAATATTTCCTCTGGTACTGCTGTAATGGTGAAAAAGCTGCTTGTTTTCCAAACCTGTAATTACCATTAACTTGCAGTCTCAACAGATAATAAACAGCAGTTCATTTCATGATTCCATTAGTTTCGAGAACTGTAATTCCTTCGGTAAAAATAAAAAAGCAAGAAATATGATGTCAATTTATGGGCAATGTCAGAGGAAATATAAAAACCAAACATTTAGGGTGTACAACAGCTTGTCACTAGGGCAGTTGCATCAAAGCTACACACATTGTACCCTTTTACATGGGTATATATTGGTATTTGTACCTTATCTACCCCTACAGAGCACATATTAGTACCTCAAGTGTAACTACGATCTAGTGTGGGTACATCTAAAGAAGCCCTGTAATCGCAAATATACCCAAACTGTAGTTAGATTAAGTAAGACTTACTTTAATTTTAAGTCATCCTATGGTCCCCTTGCTGAGACCCTCTAGTGGGCCCCAGGCCCTTAAAACCAGAGAGGCTTTCAAAATCTAGTAAGTGCTTTCAGAAAGTAGTTTTTTTTCTCTCTCTCAGGATATAGAATCTCTTATAATATTTTTTTTAATGGAATTTCATCTTATAAAATCTTAGTATGGGAGTTCATTTGTCATTCAAAACGGCTGCAGAATGGTTCTCCTGCTACAGCTCAGACTATTCTTTTTTCCCGCCTACAGATTAGTCTCGCCAGCGAGAGAGAGCGTGATCGGCTGCTGGTTGGTCGCGTAACTGCAGGTGGTGTGTGGACTGGCGCAACAGCTCTCGGTGTTGCGTGAGAATCTCGCCGGTTTGCCTCACAGACCATCTGCTTTATATCTAAGCAGACATGTTTCATATTGTGCACCTAACATTAGGACAATGACGACTAACTAACCAACCAACCGACAAACAAACGACGGTAGTTTACCTCATACAAATTTGTTTCACGACATCAAACACGCGTTGCCATATCACGATTCGAGTAAATGAATTAATTAGGTGGGAGACAAAGAAACGAAGGCGTTCAGGTAACATTATTTCAATGTTCAATGTCATTATTCTCGTCAAGAAAGCAGTTGGTTGCATTATGTCAAGTATTAAGGTATCGCGAGCACTAATAAAATGCAAAAAAAAAGTCAATGTGTCTGTTTTCACAGTTTTACTAGTAAGCAATTCCCTTCTGACTGATTGAACAGAACAGAATAACCCGTATGGATACTCCCGTTAGAGCACGTCGTCTGTTTTATATCTAACATAACTGCTTCAACTGGAAATTTGTGTTTATATAAAAAAAAAGGTCTAATTGAGATTAAATCCCTGTACTTCCGAGGATAGAAACTGGTCGGGCAACTGTATACCACCACAGTATTGATAGATATTCCTGACATAACAGTATTCTTTTAAGCAGTAACTTTTAAGCAGGAAATTCCGTGTGAAACTTCAGGTAATAGTGTATAAATTGTGTAATGGCACTGTGGACAAATTCATTTTCGTCCTCTTGCGTGTAATCTGACCTCCGTTTGCACATTAATAACAAACGAATGGCTTTATCCTTTCAATTATATGCTTTCAGCGACATTTCAAACGCACCGAATTACAAAGCCCTTACCTTTACAGCAGAAAGATGAAGGAGAGCCGCAAAAAATAATTGTAGCGAATAAACAACAAAGTTCATGATTGTAATTCCAGTGGTGTGTTGCGGCGAGCGTCACTGAAGAGTCTCTGGCTCTCAAAACTATTCAAAGCGGAATATGAATATGAATGAACCGTGTGATATCGTGGGTCAAAGTAACAATTCCATTCTGCCCTTCAGGACCGAAGCACCTGCGTCGAATCCACTAAAATGAACTTCTTGAGCGTTAGCGCTCCTCCAGAAAATATAATAATATAAATAATAGCAGTTGCAGTAAAATAAAATAATAATAAATAAAAGAAACCGGAGAAAATCCACACTATATTGGTCCTCCTTTTCGCCACAGTATAACGGAAAAGTCGACGTTTAATAAATCGAATTCCAAAACGTCACAGACAAAACAAAACAAACAAAAAAGTTTCCCACTCTGCACGCGCGACTTTCGGGCCAGGGAACGGCTTTTGCGCATATGATTATCCTTAAGAGCAAGACATTACATGTGCGGGTATAAAGTGATCCAATGGCAATCCCTGGTTCAACTGCAGCAGACGTTTCCTTCTTTTCCTCGTCTTATTTCTGCTATTGCTTGGGCTTTTGTTGTCTTATATCGTTGTGGATGTTATCTGGCGGTATGGGGAGGTCTTGTCACTTTGCGCTCGCTCTGTCTTTCAGCGCTTCTTGCCAGATCTGCAATCTTGAGAGAATCGGCACACAGGCGCTGATTGGCCAGCCGGAGTCGACGTAGATTATGATGCTCCAATGCGAAGGGCTTGACTCACTTCAACAGAATTTCAGAAGGTAGGAAAGTATGCATAATTCCCATTGCGTGTGGATTATTCAGATTCATAGACAGTCCAAAAATGGATATGGGTCTACAAAAGCATTTCAACTGTATCCATATTTCCTCACACATCTTCCAGTTCGTTTTGTACAGCTTTGACAAGTTCGTGGGCCTCCTAAAAGAAAGGATGTGACTTGATAAATGCTAATCAACCATTAGTTCTTCTTTAAACATTATGGAAATTAAGGTAACACTTTACAATCTGGTCTCATTTGTTAACATTAGTTAATGCATCAACTAACATTAACTACAATACATTTGTTACAATATTTATTCATCTTTGTTAATGTTAGTTCATGTTAGCTCAAGTCCATTAAATAATATTAACAGACACAACTTTTAATTTCAATAATGTATTGTAAATGTTGAAATTAAAATGAACTCATATTAAAAAATGCTTTAGATTTAAAATTGTAATTGTTAACTTGTATGTATTTTATGTGGGTAACTGCAGCTGATGAATGAAAGTACTGCAGGCATATAGGATTTTCTTTACAATACATAAATGTTCCTTATGTTTCTATTATTGAGAAAATCTAGCATTTTGCAATATATTGAGGGTCCCTGGATTGCCTGAGAGTCTGGGTGAGGGAGTCCTGTGAAGGTTTATTGTGTTGAATTATGCCAAAACAAACTTATTTGCTGCTTTTCAAGTGTTCAAATAAGTTGACAACATATGTTTCTACTGAAAGAAAAGTGTCTTGGGAAGAGTACAGAGCAAAGCAAGATTTATACTTGTTTCACCAAAGAGAAAAAAATCTTTGCATCTCATCGATATAGCAGAATAAGTGTAAAATAGGTGTATAATGTCAGAGTTGGCTTTAATAAACATAAAAGGAACATTAGTTTGAAAATCAAGCCAGTTTCTCAAATACTGACTGAGTTTTAAAGGTAATAATAGAACTTTATATAAGTATGTCACACAGAGGTTACACAAACCGTTAGTTAACTGTAAAGGAATTACACTGGAATCCCTGTGATAAACATTTAAACTACCACAATAATATTTACAGACTTCTAATATTACAGGTTCACATGCTTTATGAATGATGCCTAGTTTATGTTTGATCTTCTAAATATGTATGTAAACATTAAAAAAGTTTTTCATTTTCACAAATGTGCCTGTCACGCATGTCTCCATCGGCAACAGCTACCTGTGCTTGTCATATTTTGAAACTAAGGCAAAAAAAAAACTTGTGGATGAATGAAAATATGAGCTGATGTTTACTCCCCTGCGGGCCGTAGGAGGTGGCAGAGGGTAATACTGGGGCTTCCAAGTTCCCATGAGTACTACTGCTGAGAAAATCTAATTCAATCTGCTGGTACGTGAAGACTCAAGGATGGCGCCCCAGTAGAAAGATGGGAGATTTAGACGTAGCTTCATTTCCCTTCGAAATCACCATGACCTCTTTCTCACTCACACAAAAAAAAAAAACTCATTCCCCATGTTCCCTGCCACAGATGGGTCACGGCCTTCTCTCCCACAGCGCTCAGAGTCAGGCACTTTACTCTGTTACTATGGTTGCCAGCCACTTAAAGTCTCCTTCTCTTTATGCTCTGTCCTTATCCTCGCTAACTTGATCCTCGAGTGATAAGTAACCTCTGCTGTTTCTCACTGTGGAACTATTTGGCCTGATAAACTTGTAAACCATGCACTCATGCTTTGGCACAATAACAGTACTAGTATTCAGTGATAAATGTCATCCTGGAGAAAAAACGATTTCATATAATGAATGAGCTTTTAGTAAAACTTTAATAAGCATGTTTGGGGGCATCGACTGGACATCTAGAGCAGTGAATCTCAACCTTTTGGCGTACCGGACCCCAGTCCAATTCAGAACCATCCTCAAGGACCCCCAGAACAAAATTGACTCATCAATGTATCCTTTGTGTCATTGTGAGGACCAAATGCAGTCAAGTATAATTCAAGTTAGTTGACTTGTCCAGTATTTGGCCATATCATCAGCTATATTGGATTTTTCTTTCATGGGAACATGTCATGTCAAAATATACAAAATTTATACAAAAATTCATACTTTATACGGACCCCCTGGCCTTACGTCAAGGACCACTAGGGGTCCATGAACCCCTGGTTGAGAAACACTGATCGAGAGTGATCCAACAGGCAATAACGGCCACTGCATTTGAAGCATAAGGCAAAAAAAATTCCATAGCTTTCTGAATGCATCCAGGGAGATCTTTGTTGATTTTCTTGAACTCAAGTGAGAATGAATTATCTTAGTAGAGAGGAGAAAGAGCTTGTGTTCATATAAAGGAATTGATGATGAATTCATTTGATTGAGCAGAACAAGTACTTGTTGTAGATCTCTTCACAACGTCCATTTATTCAGTTTCACCCATAGAGGGCACTGTGTAGACACTGCCTAACATGCTGATAATCTATAGAAATCAACTTTACAAGTGTTCACATATTAAGAGCAGCTACAACATGATGTGTCAAGCTATATATTTTGTATACAGTATGTTTAATGGCCCTATAACGCTCTCACAGTCACATCAATAGAATTCATGCCCATATAATTCAACAATCTAAATGCATTGGTTTTATTCAAGTCTATATATATATATATATATATATATATATACATGATTTCAGATTTTAATATTCTCATATGAGGATGCACACTCTGATTAGATTTCATTTCTATACTACACTGAAAAGTGTATATTTAGATTTCAATTGAATCTTTTTCTTAGGTTTTTCTTTGATACTATCGTCAAGGACACATTGTCCGTAAGCTCACATTTCAGCCTCCTGCTCTATTTTTTAATAAGTGATTTTTGCATCGAAAACCTCACTCCAACCAAGGTCTGTCCCCCAGGTTTATCTGTCGCCTTGTCCAACAGTCTGAGTGTATTATGTCTTTGTAAAGGGCCTGATAGTTTCTGACACAGAGCGGAGGACACATTCAGATAATTCACACCACGCGTATCCACAAACATATTGCTCACAGCTGCACTCCAAATAAAAAGCCAAGCTGCAAAAGATTGTTATCTGAAACTAAGGCAGATAACCGAACCCGTTCTCTCGGGACTGGACGCACCTACTCTGCTGGACTGACCCTACCCACAAACGCCGCTCCTTAATCCTAAAGGCCATTTGGACTTCTTTAAGACGTCTCACATGTTTTCTGTGAAAATATTTAGTCTGGGCCTCATGTCCAAGGGAGTCACAACGATAACATGAGCTGCTGCAGATCAACACAGAGCTTGCAAATGCATTGCATAATAATGGAGAGAGTTACACCGAGGAAGACAGGGTCAGCGAGGAACTGAAGAGTGTGAAAGAAAGAGATGCTGGATTGGGGAAGTTCCTTAAGCGGCGAAATGACGTGAGCAGGGAGATGTGGTGAACTCCTGCTATGGCATTCCTTACCAGGATTTAATTGAAGAACAACATGCAGGTTCATCTGCAGCGTAAAAAGCCTCCCTAGCTTTTGCTGATGTCAGGAGCATGTTAACGTACGGGCAGAGATACTTAATGAGCCCTGTCAGCATCAACACCCACACTAAACACACGCAGGCCTGCTGGAGCATATTGTTGAATTGCAGCTGCTGTATAAATGCTCACCGATGATCAGCATGTCCCACAGAATCTTGAGTACTTATTCTGTCCTATAACTGACTCGGGGCTGATCATGGTTCAAATGATTCCTTAAAAACGGATTAGTTCATTCACATGTTTGTACTGTTTGTCTGTATAGTCAATAAGAGTGATCAGCTTGCTTGCTTGGAGGTCTCGAGAAAGATACTCAATTCAAACTATAAGAACGTAGCATTCAGTATAGAGATTGTAGTTGTGCTGAGCAGCAACTAGCTAAAAGTAGTGATGCTGCTAAGTTATTTAAAGAGACAGTTCATCGAAAAATGAAAATTGTCATAATTTACTCATCCTAATTTAGATGATTTATTAAAAATCTAAGTTTTTTTTTTTTTTCACACAATGAAAGTTAATGGAATCCAAAATGACAGTGCACACCATTGACTGTCATTGGATGAAAATAAATAAATAAATACATTATGCAATCAATCAGTTTATTCATTCACTTCATTTAAATTTCATTTGAATTAGTTATTATAAGTTATTTAAAACAAACAAAACACCTGTATTTAAACAAATATTATATTATTATTTTTATATTTAAAAAATGTTTTTGTGAAAAATAAATAATCAAAATAATCTTTCATTTTATTAGGTGCTATTCAATACTGTATTATGTGTTTATATTTCTTTATACTGTGCTATGAGTTTATACTTTTTCTAGTTTGACAAGCTACAGTTTTGAAGTTACATAACACTAAAGCTTTTGTTTTTGTGTGTGTTAACTGAAGCTGCATTGAGTAGGTATTAAACTTGTGCATATTTGCTAGTGTGTGAATTGTTCATGTGTAGGATTTGGGAAAACTGCTTAGAAATGCTTTAAAACAAATATGTGACCACAAAACCCTGGGACCACAAAACCAGTCATAAGGGTCAATTTTTCGAAATTGAGATTTATACATCATCTGGCAGGTTACTTCTTTGGAAGTGTGATTTGTCTAACAGACTGATTGATTGATAACAACAAATTCAAATTCATAACAAAACTGTTGAGGCCAAGTTTTGCCATGTGTTACTCCCTAGCAGGAGTTTGGTAAATCGGTGTATAAAAATGGTTTTCAGACCATCAGCATTTGGGCAGGGCCAGTGCGTTTTTTGTTTTTTAAGAGTGAGGTAATATATCTTTCCATTGTAATTTGAGGAATTATAATCATGCACCTCCCAAACTGTAGTTTTGGACTGCATTTCAAATGTTGAATTTAACATCACTGA